AATTTACAATATTAACTTTGGATACACCCAGGTACTATTTATGGGATCTGTGCCCCGCATAAACTATCCACTAGCAAATGTCTCCTGGCCAAATGTACTTTACATGGCCCTTTATCTTTTTGGATTAGCAAATGAGCTTATTTAACACATGAGCCTAATTAACACATGAGCGTATAGTCGTGTGGTATTTGCTGTAAATATGATAAACTGAGTAAAGGTGTTTCAATTAGATCTCATCAACTTCCTTTTCCACTACAACTGGTTCGGGTCATATTCAATTGCTAGTAACAGTAAAGCTGCATAGGGTCTTCTCGTCTAACTAGAGGTAAACTGTATCTGCACAGCTATTCCAATTTCACTGAGACAATCATTGAGACAGCTGTTGTATCGTTAAATCATTCATGCAAGACCGCATTTAACGGCCAGGGTATTCCGCTACCTTAGGACCCTCATCGGTAAGGCCGCCATTAATTGGGGGTATCCTTCAAAACCTAGCCTAATTTAATGGGCTAAGATAATCGGTTAACCTCCCAACATCGGGCAGAAATCACACTCAATACTTTGATTTAACATCTTACGCAAAGTGCTTTGTTTTAATTAAACAGTCGTACAACACCATTTTATGTCTCCTATTACTAACCTACTATAACATAGGAATAATGGTCCACCTTATCCCGAAGTTACGGTGTCAATTTGCCGAGTTCCTTAATGATTGTTATCTCAAACGCCTTTGTATACTCTACTTGCTTACTTGTGTTAGTATCTAGGTACGGTTTAGCAACCGGGACAAGCATTATATACCCCGTTTTCCTGAACATTTATCACCGTGGGTATTACTACCCTTAAATGTTGTTGGATATACTATTAAATTATTTTATATGTAAAGTTATTTTCCCATCATTAAATCCTTTAGGGCAGATTAATAAACTTAGGGGCCGTTACTTTAATTAAATACCATAAGCTTAAGGCGAGGGTTATTTTTTTTCCCTTTTTCGTTACTCATGCCAGCATTATCACTTGGAATTCTCTGGGCTCTAACAATTTTTTTGGGCCCATTCCTGAAAGTTAGGTCCCTTCCCGTGGAGTACTGATTCCCCAAACTTGAAAGCTTATCCTATAATATTACAAACATTATATGTTAGATATATCCAATGTTCTGCTACCCTATAAATAAAGATGTGAATAGATTAGATTATTTTTTCCATTCTTAAACTTATCTATAGACAAGATGTCGGTATATTGTTTAGATCCGTTAAATTTTCGGTGCGTTTAACTTAAAAATAAACCAGTGCTCTGTTACGAGGTCTTCAAAAAATGGCCGCTTCTAAGCCTATTTCCTGGTTGTGTGCGAAAAAAACTTCCTTAATTTCACTGAACAATAATTTTGGAACCTTTAATTCTTATTCTGGGCTGTTTCCCTTTAGACATACAACCTTATCGTACTATGTCCGAGAGTTCAAAATTCATCATTGCCCTTCCGAGAGCAAATTCCCACTGATAGGATCTTCACGATCCCCCAATGTATACAAGTTGACTTTTATTGATCCTAATAGGGTCCACAAATCATAACTTGCCAGGGATCACAATTCTGTACCTGCAATGATGTTATTTAAACCACCTACTTAAATAGGTTTCGCAGAAAACCAGCTATCCTAGTCAGTTTTGTCTTTCACTAACTTACCACAATTCTTTGGATATCTTTACAACGATAACCCATTCGGGCTTTTATAACCCTGATCATGGTAAGATCACTAGGCTTCGGGTCTAATACTAGATACTTATTCATTAATTAATAATTGGTTTATCTGGGAAATATAGAGGATTTACTAAGTCATTTCTATTTAATTTTTATATTCAACAAAAAAAATAGTTTTACTTTATACTTTTTTCCAAACCTCTTTCTCGCATCTAATATTAACTTGCTGACCCATTATGCAAAAGGTACGCTCTCATTATTTGTTTAATTTTCACTTGAGCTGCTTATAAAACTACTATTTCAAATATTTCCCTCACGCTACTTTTTCACTGTCGCTTATATATCATATTTAGCCTTAGAGAAAGGTTTCCCTAAATTCAAACAGAATGTTTTTCCGTTTTACTTTAAAGGCTTTTTCTGTGTCCATTTTTAATTGACATATTCAGAATCTCATTTGATTTTTATTCCTGAAGCTAATAAGATATTTCAATTTACTTCGTTTATAACTGGATTTTTCCTAGGATCATTAGGGGCATTCCCCCAATACATTGTCCTATGATACATAGCTCTCATATCCGTAATAGTTTCTTTATATACTTAAGATCAAATGAATGATCAAATATTACATTACATATCAAATATAATATTAATATGAACTTAATACAAAAAAAGTAAATATAACCTATAATTAATTTATTAGTGTTTATTGGTTTTTAACGGTAAACCATATAAGCATCTTCTTATAATTTGTTCTAAGAACGGAACAACTTTACCCGTTCCATCAAGTGCAGTGGCTATAAGATCTCACTCTCAATATGACTCTTTTTGTAAATCGGGTAAAGTATCCCTAACAACAATAAACATAACTGATCTGTATGGTGAAAGCGTGTTATCCGGAGACATATTACCATCACGAATGAAAAAAATGGCAGTATATTGTCTATAATAACGGTCGGAAAATCTTAAAATTTTACTTAAGGTTCCTCATTTTTCAGCTTCGGTGATATATAAACTGTCTTGAGAGCTTTCAACATAAGCGGTACCTTTAAAAAATACATAATATTTGAAAAAAAAAGTAAACTCTAAATACCTATAATATTTATAAGAAAATATACCTATAATAGTAGCTAGTGGTGCACTACTCCTGCTATCAGTTGTAAGTTCAGATATTATAATGTTTATTAACATCAATAAAAACAACATTGAAACTGCCGCTAGATATGTTAGTAAGATAAACCTATCAAATCTGAACCTTATATCATTAAGTAACCTGCTTTACTAATAAATAGGCCGATTAAAAATAATACACAAACTATTGCATTTTTACTTATCATGATAAAACTACCACATAGTATGGATGTGAACGAAATAAAGTTTAACACACTATTATTTAAACCATTCGTAAAAGTTTTGTTAGATAAAAATAAATATATTGGTAGTATTAAATATAATATAATATAATTAAATTGTATGACAATAAAAGCATACTTAGAGTATAGAATGTTTTAACTCACAGAAAAAATAAAATAAATAAAAAAATTTTTTTATTATTTTCCTACTGTATTTTTTTTTCTTATTAATTATCCAACGTTTAAGTGTAGATTCATTTAAGCAGTTTATTATTTATAATAATATAAGAGATAATATAACCTTTTTATTATTAATAAAAAACCTTATATAAACGTATAATAATTACCCATTTACGTAGTAGAAATATAATACTAATGTGAAAAATAAACTTTATTGTTCTTGTAATCAAGACAAGAATTTTTCAAGTGATATAGACTCTATGACTATGGGCATAGAACTGTGTAATATACCACATAATTCTGAACATTGCCCGAAAAATGTTCCTTCTCTGTTTACAAGTACAGAAACTTGATTAAGTCTACCAGGATATGCATCACATTTTATACCTAATGCAGGGCAAGCATAAGAATGTATTACATCACCAGAAGAGATAATAAACCTAACATGAGTTAATTCAGGTAAAATTACCCTATTGTCCACTTCCAACATTCTTAATCCACCTACATCTAGATCTGAATCTGGCACTAGATATGAATCAAATTCTAATTCTTCATCATCGTCATTAAGAAAATCCGGATATTGGTAACTTCAATATCATTGGTGTCCTTCTACAAACACTGTTAATGATGGATCTGTAACTTCATCCATTAAATATAATAATTTAAAAGATGGAAAGGCAATTAAAATCAGGATTAAAGCTGGGGTTATTGTTCAGATCAATTCTATAAGCGTTCCATGGTTTAGATATTTATTACTAATAGGGGATTTATCATTCACATAATTTCTAACTACGGAAATTAAGATTCAAGCCACACCAAATAATATGATCACTAAATAAAACATAATATTATCGTGTAATTCAATAAGCGCTTCCATTTGAGGACTTGCACTATCTTGGAAATAAATACCTCATGGTCTAGCAGCATCACAAGTGACAAAAAAATTAGAAAAAAGGTTAGTCATGGTTTAATAATGTGTTTACGTATTTTATGTTTAAAGTCTTTATGTGCAAAATAGAAAAAAAAAAATAATCCTAAAATATCTTTTGAGTTATTAGATTAATTTTTGTAAAACTTTGTATAAACATGATGATCTATTTATAATATACAAATTAGATGATTAATTCCTACCCAAGAGTTGAACTCAGATCCAGATATTAGAAGTATCCTGCTCTACCATTAAGCTAGTAAGAGTTATATATTTTTAATGTGTAGAGACACGGAGGAATTGAACCCCTAATTTTCGATCTGCAATCAAAATGTAAACCTTTTACAACATGTCCCGGTATATTAACAATAAAACGTGCACAAGAGTCGAACTTGCATACATTGTGTCCGTAGCACAATACTTTGACCATTAAGATAACACGTTTTTGTTTTTTGTTGCATATTAATCACGGATCTTAGCCCCTAATATGAATTGAACATATATCAGAATATTAACAGTATTCTGCTCTACCGTTGAGCTATAAAGGCTGTTAGTTACATACTTTAAGTAGGAAGAAAAGGAATTGAACCTTCGACAGCTTTAGCTATTGAGTTTACAGCTCAACCCATCATACCAACAAATGGAACCTTCCTTTTTGTTAAACCTTAACAATATTAATCTAAACCAACTAATT